TCTCCCGTCCTATTTACACCATTCATCGGCACTACCCTCAAATATGAATGCTATCAGTTTAATTTTTTTTCTCTAGGTATCGAAGCACTACCAATCTTTTTTTTTATCTCATCAATGAAGTGCATTGGGTCCTCATTATCTCTATCGCTCGAATAAATTGGTGGCTTTAACTTTAAGAACTCTGTCATATATGGGTCAAATCCCACTAATCTTGATTGGGTGCCTACGTTGCAGTAATCGCTTCACCCAATCTTTGATTGGTAGACATCAATCTCGTCATAGTCTAAAAAGTTTATTGAATTCCTTCGAGTCATTATCTCCACGAGTTTGCTATATAGCACGAAACCCAACCATGACCTTAGCGAGCATCATCATGACTGGGTCTTCTTCCTCTCTAAAGCTAGTTCTACTAGGCAAACATGAAGGTTTGGATGATGCCTCGGCCTCGACACTTCCTCTATGATCACTCGATCTAGTCCTCACCATAGTATCCTATACGAAACAAAACCCAAGTTTAATATATTAAAAAAAGGCAATCAATTCGTACAAAAGCCATATAATCTTTATCTCTTTTTTTATTAGGCTTGCTTATGCTTAAATGGGACAATGATCTTGGGTTTGCAAGAAAGAATTTAACAAATCAAAATGAGTAAACCCAAACCAAAACACGTACAAATCCAATAATACAAGGAACAAAATGAAAAAATATAAAAAATCAAGTTAAAAGAAGAAACAAATGAGCAAAAAGGGAGACATATGGTTTGAAGAACAAATCAAAACGCTCGTGCGTGATTTAGCTCAATAAGTCACACGAGCGAAAGGATTAGACATGATTTATTTTGAAAATCACACGTTTATGTATGAGTTGCCAAAAAGAAGAGACACGAGCAAAATTGATCCACATGGTTTATTTTGAAAGTTACACGCCCGTGTAAGTACTTAACAAATTGAGGGACATGGGTAGAAAGAAACTCACATAATTTTCTTTGAAATTCACACGCCCTTGTATGATATTGCAAAGAAAAATTTCATTCAAAAATACAAAGAGGCACATGTTAGATTGCATGTCACATAGTTTGAGAAGGATTCCACAAAACTTGGAATGGATTTCACACGACCAGAATCCTTTATACGTGATTTGTATGGCTTGAAGCATTTCAATTCATATACTTCATTTCTCTTTCTTATATATATGTGTGTGTGTGTGTGTGTGTGTAAACCTTCCATTTTTAGTAAATGGATATACTTCTATGTACGTACACTTAATACAAGCTTATCATTACGTATGGCTACATACATATATTTTTAACGAAAAATGGGAACACGACGAGTGGGGTTGCTCATGACTTGGAAGGAAACTTACCACGCTCATGTTCCATACAAAACCTAATTTTCACGTACGTTTCTTCCTTAGACATTTCTATTCCTTATAACTTATCAAGCGAACCTAAACTAATGCGTACAAGCACCGATTGATCCATGTGATTCAAGGTAAAAATATGGATTAGAATAGAACTTATGCTCCGTATTTAACTTAGACTCTATAACCTATGTTTTGATACCAACACTTGTCACGACCCCGAGAGTGGGCCATGTTGACACTAGGACCGAGAGGATCGTGAGGCCCATCTCGATCCAAGTAAGAATCGGATGCAAATCTAAACCTCTATTCATGATCGAACTTATACTATAGTCCTCGATGCAATCTTAGTCAAATCATCATCCCAATCAAATATTATCTCGATTTGCATTATCATAACTTAGTAATCAATTCTTTAACCTTAATACAATTCATAACTTCATACCGTTCTCATTTTAATAATGAAGATCAATATTCATTATCAAATCTTAATACACTACCCATAGCTATAATCGTAGAGCATCTAACATACAATAAAATAAAAGAAGCATAAGTTCTAAGGAATTACAAGGAAATAAGTCACACAATCAAGGCGTCGACTTCAAATCAATAGCCAAGAGGAAGAAAATGAATGATCTTTCAATATCCTATAAGATTGAAATAATGAAGGGTGAGCAAATCACAACTCAATGAGTAGACGTTATATAATATACTAAGGAAGGAAAAAGGACTACAAATGATGTTCTCAAATCCATGTCAAAATACAATGCTTAATTCTCAAATAATATGCATATCGAAAATACAATTTGTATCATAAATCCAAATGGTTCAAAACCATTTTATATCAATTCATCAATCATTTGTTTATATATATATATATATATATATATATATATATATATATATATATATATATATATGAAAAACACATTTATATAAGTTTTTATACATTCGTAGGGCAATAACATATCATTGGATGCGAACACCCCAAATCACACCCCTTGTGACTAGATTTTTGCATGTTGGCCGATATATGATTTAACACTACACCTCTCCCGCTAGATGGAGCCTCGTATCATTGAGCTTAAAGGCTACTCTATTGGTAGCTAGGTTCCCCATGATCTCGAAAACATTTTTTAAAAAACCAAATACACTTATATATTTTTAAATTGATATTTCAAACACCATGCATGCATTTTCATAAAATACACACATACTTAAAATAACAAACATAACGTATACATGTTCAAATTCGAAAACACATACCAAACCATTCAATTCACGTGAAATCATTTGAATACGAATCATTTCAAATATTCACGATGTCCGTTTCCATCTAGGTTCTAAGGGAATGCTTCTAAAAAATTAATAAACTAATGATGCATAAATAAACATTATCAAGAAATATAGAACACACTACACTACATAATATCCACTCATATTACAATTTGAAAAACCAAAACGAATCAAGGTTATGATGGAGTCACCCGCTCTAAAGAATCTAGCATCACAAATCGTACCTCAAGGAATAATTCAAAATGATGAAAGCAAGCATATAAGATTATCGAATAAAATGGAATTGATTGAAAAGACTAGATCCGATAACCTAATTAGATTCTATGATCCCTTAATTGATTCTAAATAATCTTTTACCAATCTTCAATCCATCCTTAAACAATCAACTAATTCTCAATTCAATTAAATGACCAATTATGTTCTAATTTATCAAATAATCATTCCATTCATCTTTAATTACATTTTTATAACTTAATTCTTCATTTTTTTCAATTTTCGAATTTGTCACTATTCATCATCTTCAACCTCTCGGTTTCTCAAATTCATTTAATTTTACTTCAAATTAACTCCCTAATTTACTTGCCTAAGATAATTAAACATCAATTAAACACTTAGGATCACTTAAATCAAGTTTTTCCCTAAATGGGTCTCAAGAACCTTGACCTCAATCTAAACAATTTCTCAAGCAAATCATTAACCCAAAGCAATCTCAATTCAATATCATCATTAACTACTTACAAACATCATAATTCAAAGTTTAATGGATCAAAATCTTTATCTTTACACTAAGCTCCTCAAATCTAATTTCTTCTTATCTTTCTCCAAGTTTTCAAAACTCCAAGCTAACTATAATCCACTCAAGCCAACTAATTTATGTTTTCCCTAAGCTAATTTAACATGAATTAGCTTAGGAATTGAGGTGAAAATGGAGAAGGATTTTGGGAGAGAAAAACATGAGAGAGGGAGAGGAGAAGGAAGGGAAAATCTGGAAAATAGGAGCAATTATACCCGTCCAGTGTTTTTTGTTAAAAAAAAAAAAAAATTCGTGTTATTACAAATACTTACTTTTTTCGGTCAATCAATTTAATCTTCTCAGCCTGGACTTCGAACCTTACGAAGAGGGAAGAAATATTGTACTGATCATAAGTTAATTAGGACGAGTTTCTGCACAAAGAAAAGGACATAACAATTCAAGAATTCTAATTAATATATTGGTGATCATTAGTGGCATCTAAAACACTTTAATTGATTAAAAATTATGTGTATTTTGATATTGGTTTAATCTAAAAAAATAATAGATTTAATCTCAATTAATTCAAAAATTATTAAAAAATACTCTAATATATATATATATATATATATATATATATATATATATATATATATATATATATATATATATAAACTACGATTATGCAATATTTACTTAGTTCGCATGCAAGAGAGTTAAAATGGGAAGAGTATACTGAGGATGGGGCGGAAACCATGCATGTATTTCTCTTACTCTATTAATTAATCAGTGGTTTTCTTTCATCTTCAATGTAAATGAAAAATAGTTTAATTTATCTCTATATTTTAGGTCATTTTCTAATCTATCTATAGAGTAGATATTTTTATTCAATTTGGCAAAAACACCCTCACTTGATAAACTCAAACCTCTATCTAATTTATTATATATAAAAAATTGGTTATGCTATATTTTTTCATTTTTATATATATATTAAATTGGGTTTGATTTTCTCACGTCAAGATATTTTAATCATTTTAGAAGAGAATATCTAATATAAAAATAGATTGAAAAATAATCTTATATTTTTTTAAAAAATAAGAACAATTAGATTTGTAAATATAGATTGAAAACCGATCATAATATATATGAATAAATTTAGCTAATTCTCTTTATTATTTGTTAGAAAAATTGGGAGGGAGTCATCACCAGCCATTACATTTATTTGGGGTAGCTGGACATTTAGTTTTGAGGAAAATTTTATTTTTTTAATTAAAAAAAAAGCAATTTATGTCGAAATGGTTTTACCAAGTCAGGGTTTCCAAAAGTATTATAAGTTTTGTAAAATGAATTAAATAGTTTATATAGTTTTGAAAACTAATTGATTAGTTTCTTTATCAGTATTGACCTTGTTAATTTAATAGTATCTTGTTTTGAAAAAATATATCTTTTTTTACATCAATTTTTTCATATTATTCTTTTGTTTTTCTATTTTTTTAAACGAAAAACTAAAGCCCAAAATGCAAGCCTTGATTGCCGGACCCAAAAAGAGTGAGGAAAACACACTCCATAGCCATTCGATTCTCTTTCCCGAAAAAGAAAAACGAAATTCTGAAAATGGCAAAGACCCTCATGTCGTCGCGCCCGTACTCTCTCCTTCGCCAAGCTCTTCCTTCATCTCTTCTCCAACTCCCCAAACGACACTTCGTTTCACCCTCCGCAGTTTTGTTAAACAAGACAGAAACAAACTTGCTCTTCTCTTGCAAGAGCACTACGGCTGCTAATAACAGAACCAAACTCCACATTGTTAAATTAGGGTTTGGTGCAGCCGGTAATCGCCGATTCAATACCAGAGCTACTCATATTAATGACGCTGGCTCCATCGACTCTCCTCTTATGCAGTCCATGGAGAAAAAGGTGGTAATTTGATGCAAAATTAATTAATTATTAATTATTTCGTTGATGATTGCAATTGTGTGAAAATATTATTTGTTTTTGCAACAGATTAAGGAAGAACTAAATGCGGAATCAGTGACTGTAAAGGATGCATACGGTGATGGTCGACATGTCAGGTATGCTTAGACTGCGCCTGCTGTCTCACCTGTTGCGTTGATTTCGTTATCGAATTGTGTGGCCATGCTTTCGGTCATGGATGTTTTCTTTAAATTGCTCAAGAATCAGCCCACTTTGTATGGTTGAGCTACTATAGGATTAAGAGAAGTTTTATATAATGTCTTATGCTGAATATTAGTTATAATTAACATTTAGTTTAGCATAATTATATTGAACGCTCGAACATTGGCTAGCCCTCTTGTTTGATGGATTACAATAACATCTTTGGCAAATTCCTTTTTTCGACAAGATAAATTACTTCAACACCCAAGGGATTATTTCTGTTCCTGTGGTTTAGCTGGGCCAAAGAATCACAATCAACCTCAATTCCGGTATTGCAATGACTGTCATGTGAACAATTGTGTTTTCCTTGTTTTTCATAATCCTGAAAAACAACTTAAGACTAAATTTAGTTAAAATGACTTTAAGTTAGAAGTATGTTTGGTAAGGTGACTCAAAGCAACTTTTTCGAAGAAGGAATGTTGTGTAAATTAAAAGTTCAAAAATTTGACTCGATTTTGTAACAAACTTTTGATTTAATTTAAAAGGTTATTTATAACAAAACATTGAGTCAAAAGTTAAAAAACAACTTAAATCAATTTGCAAAAGTCATACCAAACATAACTTTAATCTCTTTTCCTCTAAGGAATCAATTAATAGAGCTGCTGGCTACTTTCACTTTGATCTGTTAGTAGCATTAGAGTGTTGAAGTTGTCGGCATTGCATGTAGACCATGTTAAGCCTTTAAAAAAAAAATCATAGCTTATGTATGACCCAATGACTGCACTCACCTTTTTTTTTTTTTTTTTTTTGTGAAATCATTGAAATAATTTTTTTTTCCCATGAAAAAAGGATAGTTGAAATCAATTGAATGATATTTAGTTTTCTTCCTTGCCAATCGCCTTTTTACCATTCAAAGAACATTAGAATTTGCCAAGAGACCCTAAAAAAACAAAAGTCGATTTCATTGAGTTTTTGAATATCATTACTGGTTAGTGTAGGAGTGAGTGATGGTTTGGGTATGGCCCTTTGCAAGTTGTGTAAGCAGAGACAAAAGAGCAATGGGAAAATGCTTGTAAACTCATACTGAGAGAAAATGATTTTTGATGTGTCAAGAAATTAGGAAAATGTTGGAGAGAACAGAAAGAAAGAAAGCAAGAGATACATCCCAAAAGCCCAAGTTCTGGTAATATGATATTGATATACTTACAGGCAGCAAAGTCTAGAGTGCAGAGGGGCTGGTTGGATGTATTTTAGAACATGATTGATGCTAGTGATGGTTTGCAAATTGGACGAATTTTTCGACTTTTGACTTTTACTTTGAGAGTGGGCTAGATGCTTACCTGAGTTATTTATGGTGCAATGGGCTTTTTTTGGGTAATGGCACATTACATATAGGTACAGGTGAACTCGAAGAGCGCAGCTTATGTACAAGCAGAAAAGATACTGTTGCTCCTTCAGTAAGGAATTCTTCTGGATCTTGTGGAGGGACAAAACAATTGAGTGTTTTTGAAGAAGAAATAATCCTCTCTCGCCTTTTTTGAAGGTTTCTAGGAGTTGTCCTTATATTAGTGGCACCACGAGCAATCTTCTGTCAATGGGAATTTCCTGTTATGTTGATTATTTAATTTTTTTGGTGTTTTTAGTATGGTGGAAATTTTTTTCATCCTTTTTTCTCAACAAATTAATGGAACCCCTCTGGTTCCTTTAATCTATGTTGATTTTGCTAAAAACATAATATTTTAGAGCAATATTCATCTCACCATTGCCCTTATTGAAAAACCTTAAGAGGCCTTGTGTTTATACACATTTTATGTAGCTAGTCATTCCACATAAAAATACATACCAAAATGGAGCTGAACTTATGTTGTTAGTACATTCTTCTATTGTGTTTGATTAGTACTAACATGGGCCCTGATTTCAGGCCACAATAATAGGTTTGCTGTAAGTAAATTATTTTGTGCCTTTTATTGATGGTTGTACTTGATTTTGAATGAGTAAAAAATTAAAACTTTTTTATAATTTTCTTTTCATGATGGAATTTTGATTGCTTTATCCTCATTTGATATAGGCATCATCGACAAGATCTACTTGCTTTTGCACTTTCTCATAAATTTGTTTGTGGGTGCTCTTCATAACATGATGTGAAAACTTTAGAGAATTGTTTGACTGAGAAACTCAGACTCAATCATTTATCATAAATAAAGAGATAGCAAGTATATCTGATCCTGACAGTTGCATGTTAGATTAGGATTATAAATCCTTTGCCATTTCATCTAACGAAAGAATGTTGCTGGTTTTACTTAAAAAAAAATACTACATTGTTTGATCTGATAAGGCCTTGCTCTGCTAGTGTGCTGTTTTAAGCAGCGGGTAGTTGCAGGGCTTAAACATATGGAAGGAGGTTAATTAGGCCTTATAGATGAGATAGCGTTTGATTAAAGTAAGCTTTGAAAGGGCCCCGTAGCATTCATGTTTTCTTGGCTCCCTTGAGCACAGCCCTTTCTAATGAATTAAAACATTGTTTATGAGAAAAATGAACCTTGTCCAAGCAAATTCTTTTATTTGGCTAATTAAACTAACTTGTCCTTTAATATGTATGTGACACTCTTCAGATCATGCTGTGTTCAGCAGAATCAGTACTCGTCACCAGCCATGATTTTTTGCTTAGCTATGAAAATTGAATTGTGTGCGATGTGTTTGCAGCATAGATGTCATCTCTGTAGCCTTTGAGGGACAGTCAGCTGTGAATAGGCAGAGGATGGTATACAAAGCCATCTGGGAGGAGCTTCAGAGCACAGTACATGCAGTTGATCAGATGACTACCCGAACCCCAACTGAAGCAGCTGGCCAGAAGTGAGGGACCCTTTATGACAATGACAACCAAACTCGAAACTTCCTATATTGAGTTTTCTTGTTGTCATTCATAAAAGGAACCAGTAAACTGTAAGCCTACTTTTCTCATTATAAAAAATTTGCTCTGGCTCACTAGCTGCAATTCCTTTTTACTCTTCGTAGAATTTATAACCTTTAGGACCAAGAGGAAGGACTGTATGTTGTGGGTTAGTCATATTAAATCATTCTTATGGAACTCTTCTTTCACAGTGTTCGTATTTTTTTTTCCCCAATTAATGGCAGCCATGTTTTCCGCCAGAGTGAAATATGTGTGTCAGTGCATAAACTGTGTGTGATCTGCGTGGGATCGCTAGTGATGAGGTCTGTGTGTCAATGACAGGCTTATCACCTGTGCAAGAATTATCAGAAGTATTAAGCTTTAGCTAGGTGACCTAACCATAGCCTAGTCGTAGTTATAGTTTTCCATTTCTTTTATCCTTGTAGAACTGCCGTTGGAGTTGCCATGCATTTCTAAAGAACATCATCATCCTAAAAGAAATTGAAAACGCTAACAGTGCTAACTCCAATGCCCTACTAAATGATAGATAAGGCTGTGTAAAAGGAAAACAGAATGCATACACATGCATGCATACAAACAAACATAAATAGTTCAGCACAATTACATATTAAAACCACAAAACCATGATTATTTTCCTAGACAAACTCATGCATTGTCAGGCCATGTGTAGCCGGCAGAATTATTAATCAACCAAGGCAACGATTAAACTGAAGGAACAAACTAACAACCTCTAATTTGTGGTCTTGTCTGTGTGGTTACCACTTTGTTTAGTATATAATGGATGGACTTCATGATCACCACCATCTCTTGCTGAACTGACTGGACCTTCACCCTCCTGATGATCATTGTGTCTCTTTGATGGAGCTGAAGGTGGAATAGGCAAGTCCTTCGGGAGGAAACCAAACGTCATAGGTGCATAGATGCTTACCTTTTGAAGCCTAAAGTTATGGACTCGATATATTGCTCCATTGCTTGAAGGAAAGAGGAGAAGCAAAAGAAACAAGAGAAGAATATTGTGATTCCAAGCCATAGAAAGTGAAATGAATAAAAGATGAAACTCTCTGCGGTGTTCTAATACTGCGAATGATGAAGAGATTTGTTCATTTCATCTAAGGCAACCTATGCAAAAGAAGTGAAAGAGATAGAAAATGTCAAAAAGGAGAGTTGGAGTGTAACGGATGCTGAGAAATAAAGAAAGAGTTGAATAAAAGAAGGTTTCAGGGGAGGCAATAAGAGACAAATTGTGGTATTAATGAGGCAGAAACTGATTTTGCCACAATGGGTGCGACATTGCTAGGATTGCAGGAACAACACCACCTTTTCAATGTTCATCAGGAATCTCATTTATAAGTTTGTTAACTTTTATTTGTCTGTTTTTTGTCTTCTTTCCTTACGAGTGTGATAGACTCTGTGATTCTGTTAAATCAACAAATTGAACTATATATAAAAATAATTTTACGAACTTGACTCTACATTTCTTATATTTAAATAACTCAATCAAATTGATTTTAATTGTTAACATAAATCCATTTGTTATGTTAAAACGAAAAATATTAACCATATAATATATAATTTTAACTAAGATACTCGATCCTAGTTAAAATATATATATATTCTAAAACATTTTTTTTTAATTTTTTTAAAATAAATAAAAACCAATAGATTTATAACTCTCTCTCTATCTTTTATTTTTATTTTATTATTATTTGGCAAATCTACTGTTTAGGAGCTTTTTATGAGTGAATCACTTGACTCTTATGTGACTCTAGTTAGTTTCACATCAGGTTTAATTTTTTTTTAAAAAAAAATCGGTTGTTAAGTTCAGAGATGAGCACTTTAGTCAAAATTATGTGCTATATTTTCTAATTTATGAAACTTCAGCATAGAAAATGGATTTATGTAATAATTAAGGACAGGTGAATTTAATTATTTCAATATAACTAATATAGATCACATTCACCAGATTATTTATGTAGACTTAAAGTTGATGGTTTATCTGTTTTTTTCTCTTTTTTCTTAGGAAAAGTATTTATGGGTTCATTAATGCTATATAAACAAACTTTTTAGATGAAATTACTACGATCATTCTACAGTTTAGTATTTTGAATACTATCATATTTTATTTTTTAGAAGTTACATTGGCACTACCTATAGTTTTAAAATTCATTTCACTTAAAAGTTTTTTTTTTTACTTCAAACTCATTTTTCACATTGTATTTTCATTAACCTCCATCAAAAAATAACATCAAGTTTGTTAGGAAAATCCCATCATTCACAAGCTAAAAAATATTTCATGACGAAAATTGCCTTATAGGCTTGTCAATAGTCATGTTGAAAGTGATTTGGTGCAATCCAAACTCATCATAATTTTTTTTCGGAGTGATTTTCTGCTAACCAATCAGAACCTTTCTCGGCGTGATTTGGTGTAATCGAAACTCATCACAATCCTTCTCGGAGAAATTCTCTGCTAAACAATCAGAATCCTTCTCAGAATGGTTTGGTATATTCCAAACTTCTTTTTTTTTTTTCTTTTGTGTCTATATTCAACTCTAATAATGGCTTTTATGAAGAGATGACTCTGAAGCTTTTAGAGTCCATTCAAATCAGATTGACTAATTTATAGGGTTTCTAAACCCGAAAAAGTGGAGATCTAATTTCAATACTAAGATTTAGGTAGAATCCAATCCTACCTTTAGCTTGTAAACTCTAATCCAATACATGTTGGTTGGATCCAAGCTCAAAATTTATTTTGATGGATTTAGATGTAATTTTTTTTTTTTTTTTTGTATCTCTCTCTTTAAAAATGAGTTCAATTAGTATCTACTAGCTGATTGTCCACATTACACTACGAGTTCTACAACACAAAATCATTTTAAAATTTTATAAATTATTAATTATAATTTTTATTTAATTAATTTTTCTAATGTTTTTCATAAATTTTCTACTTAAAAAAAAAGCATAAACCATTCTTCTTTACTGATTGATTTTAAAGTAAAGAATTATAATAATTTTAATTAAAATATTAATCAAGAATTAAAAAAAAATTATAAAACATATTTTTTATAATATTGTATTTCAAAAAATAAAATTATAATCAACGGATAGATTTTTATAAAATTTAACAAATGAAAAAAATTCTTATTTAATGTTGATGAGAAGATTAATTTTTGAAATTATCCACATAACTCTGCAGGCGAGATAGAAAAAAAATCATTTCAAAATTTTATAATTTCTTTATTTAATTGTTACTTTTTTGTGTTTTTCATAAAATTTTTGTTTAAAAAAAATGATTTATTCTTCTTTATTCGGAATTCTTAAATAAAAACTTGTAATAATTTAAACCTAAAATATTAATTAAGAATTCAAAAACAAATACTTTAAAAATGTATTTTTTTATAAGAATGTATCCAAAAAATAAAGTTACAATTAATGTATAAACTCACATACAAATTAACTAATAAAAAAATTAAATTTTAGTCTTATTTATTGTTGGTGAGAAGATTTTTTTAAAAAAAGTATATGCATTTGATCTTTATATATTTATTTACAAAATAATAATAAATAAAATTAGCATGAAAAACTATATTTGAATAATTGGTTGGTTCCTTTAAAAAATTATTTTAATTCAAATAAATTGGTTCTCTAATGTTAAAAAAATATTCATAGTAAATAATTTATATTATGTTGGAAGATGTATAGTTATTTTTTAATAAAAAAATGATTCAATAGTTTTTTGTATACGTCTTGACCATACTTACCGAACCGAGATAAATTATTTAAAATACACTTTTAACCTCTTATAATAAAATAATTATATATTTATATATATGCAACTATCATTTAAAAATTCTAAGAATTCATGATATATATTATACCAATTTATTTTTTTAAAAATAATATTTTAAAATTCAAAAATAGAGAAAAATAAATTATATTTACCAATAAATAAAATTTTATATAAAAAATATTAATTGGATGAGAATTTTCATAAAAAATGATAAATTCAAAGAATGAAATTTAAATAATAAGAGTAATAGAAGCTAAAGTATATATTACTTTTAATATATATATATATATACACACACACACACACACATGCTGTGCTGGAAATGAAAGAAAAGTGAAAGTCGAGGATTGAAAAAAAATATTAAAACATAAGGGACGAAAATAGAAAAAAAATGTTAAATTTGCATATTAATGTCCAATAACACACAAAAAAAAATCACACATAAAAATAACTTAAATTGCCATCAAGTAAATAGTAATTTTATGCATATAAAGAGTAAGGGAATAAGAATTTTAGGCATATGAACAGTTCGGATTCTCACACTACGCCGTGAACCGAACTAAACATATTTATTTCGGTTTGATAACATATACTACATGTCAGTTAATTAAAATATATTAAATTAAATATAAAAGATAAAATTTCATCTATCAAAATTTTGTATCTATATATATTTTTATATGTTTTGAATAAATTTTGAAGCCAAAAAATATGATTTGTTCTTTCTTACATTTATTCTTAAATAAAAACCCATCATAAAAAAATTTTAATATAAATTTTTTAAAAAATGTCTTAATATTTTTTTCATAACATTGCATGGAAGAAATAAAACAACAATTAATATAAAAACTTGTATGAAAATTAATAAACAAAGCCTTTTTACTAATGAGAAGATTATTTTTAAAAAAATATGTACATTTGATTTATATATTTTTTATTATAAAATAATGAATAATATTAGTATATTATTATAAAAGAAATAGAAATAACAAGAGAATTGAAGAGAAAGATGATAAGAAAATGAATTCACTATAAAATAAAGTGAATACAAGTGATAAGAACTTCAAATAAAACAACAATTAATATAAAAACTTGTATAAAAATTAATAAACGAAGCCTTTTTACTAATGAGAAGATTATTTTTTTAAATATGTACATTTGATTTATATATTTTTTATTATAAAATAATGAATAATATTAGTATACTGTTATAAAAGAAATAGAAATAATAAGAGAATTGAAGAGAAAGATGATAAGAAAATGAATTCACTATAAAATAAAGTGAATACAAGTGATATGAACTTCAAATTATTCTCTTAATCTCTTCAAAACTTATACACCAACTAATGAACAATCAAGCCTATTTATAGGTTTCAAAATTGAGAAGAGAATTGAAAGGGACTATGAATAATTAAAAGTATATAAACTATTGAATTAATTGCATCACCCTTTCAATTTCTTACATTTAATGATAAATTGAATCATATTAAGAATTATAAGTAGTAGGGATATGAAAAGTATATGAATATTCACATGGATATTCATTATTTCATAATATATACAAAATTGAATTTGAATTATCGAGCAATTATTCTAAAATATTATTTCAATTATTTTATTTAAAAAAATTAATTTTAAAATATTAAAAAAATAATAACAAATAATTGGTATTGTGTGTAGATGTATAGTTGATTTCTAATAAAATAAATGACTCTAATATTATTATTTTTTATAAATCATGATCATACTCAATGTGTGAGAATGTATCTCATAAATTAAAAAATATTTTAAAAAATAAATTATAAAATATATATTGAAGTTAATAGAGTGTAATAAAAAATATAAAATTAATTTCGATAAAATTTGATTATATAAAGAATAAGAAAATAAAATACATATATTTTATTTTTAAATTTTGATATATAAGAACTAAGCAAATAAAAACATGTATAAAAAAGTTATTCGAATCCATACATAAAGAAAATAAATCATATTTATCAATAAATAAAATTATATAAAAATAAGAATAAAAATTAACTTGATGTGAATTTTTATAATAAATTGAAAAGATCAATTTTAAATAATAGGAGTAGTATATATTTATTCTAAACTAAAAATATATCATATATATATTATATAATCGTCGATTTATGTAAAAAAATAACAATTGATTTTTCAAAATTTTAACACTCAGTTAAATTAAAAAAAAAAAAGAACATAAATTAATGAAAAATATCAAAGGGAAAAAAAACATTTGTAGTGCATTAGCTAGAAGGTTAAAATTTTAATTATATAAAAATTAAACAAATAAAACATGTAATTTTTTTATTAAACGAGCTAGGGTGTCACATACTAAGCATGTGATTTTTAATTAATCCAAATTGGATAGAAATCTAATCCTATTCAGCATAAGGATTTAATTTTACTTTAAATTTTATATAAAAACTATTTGTACCGAGTAATTTGTTTAAAAATCATTCATACTTGTGTAAACCTTTGCTATATTTTACTTCAAATATATTAATACCAAGTCTAAAGCACTTCTATTATTATTAAAAAAGAAGCAAGGATACCATTAGTTCATTTATTATTAAAAATAAAGATAGTTTAGTTAAAGAATTAAAAATTGCATCAATTATTTGCAAGCAAAAGAAAGTTCCTGCGACACTCCCATGCTAGAGCATTAAATGCTATGGGATAAAAAGAGAAAGTTACGAAAAAAGTAAAAAGCAAAGGAATGAAAGGAAAGAAACAAAGGGTCAAAGAAGTAAAAAAACACAACATCAAATGGCATAACAGAAAATAAAGCAAAAATATAAGGGCAGAAAAAGGTAACTTTCAGTGGGCAAATTGCTGCATGCAGAAAAGAAGACCCAAAAGGCAATAAAAAAAAAAGAAGAAGAAGAAAACTACAGTGAATGAGTAATGGTTTGCAAGGGAATGAACATTGAAAATCACTGTTTAAACACTCATATCTTTTAGTTATATAGTACTAATTGTATATTTATAATAATTACTCTTTTATTATTTTAAAATTTCTCGTAGACAGTGGTCAAGTAAATTTGGAGAAAAAGCTAGACAAAGCGGGAATACTAATTTGACTAAAATAGCTTTTTTCTAAATAATAATAAAAGAAAAATAAATCAGATTCAGGTAGATGCACCTAAATTATTGTAGTCCGATCTGGCTTTCCTCGCTTTCATCTTATGCACATCTCCTTTTTCAAATTGCCCAACTCCCTCACGTTGCTTGAAACATTCAAATTTGGTTCCTAAATAATAAGAGTCTCACAATTTCATCCAATTAGTCACGATCATTTAAAAAATGTTCATTTAAGCATTAACGAAGTATAGTAGAAAACGCTTCAATAATTTTTCATATAAAAATAAAAATATCAACAATAACTATAAAGAAATATAAAGATTTTTTCACCTTTCAGTTAAACTAGATTTTACAAAAAAATAAAATAAAAAATTAAAGCTAACCCAATAAGTAGAATTCGACACATAAATTCTAAAGATTTGCACATTCAAATGCAAAAAAAATAAAAAATAAAAGAGTAAAACAAATGAAAGACAATGATAATTACAAAAAAGAAAGAAAAACTTAAAAGATTTGGAGAGTTTACTATACAAGTATTTTGGTCCCTAGATGCGAAGACAAGGAAGAAAAGAGAGGAAAAAAAAGCGTCAGTTAGGCTTATTCTATACACTTTAGACGATAATATTCTATTTAACTTATTTATTTATCTCGGATAGAAGAGTTTTTATACAATGATTTTAAACCATCAAATAATTTAAGAAGGTGGATTAGAGCAAAATAATAATAATAATAATAATAAATTTTTCGATTTGATTTTGTTTTTTTATTTTTTTAATATGTATTAAAATGATTTTTAGAATTTTAAACAAGTCTATTGATGTAATTTTGATTATTTTGAGGCGTTTTGGAAGAAAAATAATATCGAAAAATGAGTTTTTAGGTTTGAAACTATACCTGCGACTTTCTGCGAAGACTTCTGACGAACTGCAATTGTCGAAAGTTGCATTTTTTTTTTTTTTAATTGGTTGGTGAAGTAGGCCTGCTCAAGCAGGCCCAAGCAGTCGTGCCTGCCCTGAAATGCTAGCCTACATGGGTACATAAGCACACCCCAGGAACATGGGCCTAGCCTTTTTTTTTTTTTTTTTCTCTTTGCCAATAATCTATTTTTTTTTTTTAATTATGGAATTTGTTGTCAAAGTTACAGAAAATCGATTGTTATTTTTTTTGAGTTTTCTTTACCATTTGAAATTAATAAAATATATATATATATATATATATATATATATATATATATATATATATATATATATATATATATATTAAGTGTGTTTTAGATAATTTGATTCAAACTTTTTTGTAAAAAAATAAATTTGTCTTATTTTCTTTTTAATTATTTATATATAATAAAAAATTATCAAAATTAATTTTGTAGTAATTTTTATTTCAATTTATTAACTTCAATATATTTCTTACAACTTTAGTTTTTTTTTAAATATTTATTTATTTATATTATACTACTGAATCTATTAAGTATTATATATATATATATATATTTGAATCATTAGTTTGTTGGAAATTAAACATATATATATACACATAACACCTATTATTTGTTATTTATTCTTTTTCAGTACTAAAATTAATTATACTAATATTATTGATTATTTTGTTAATAAATATATATAAATCAAATGTAAATATTTTTTTTAAAAAAAATAATCTTCTCATCAAGTTTTTTAACTACGAAATTAAAAAAAAAAACATAAGAAAGAAGAAATTAAATACAAAATTTTGATTGAAATATATATAAAATTAGATTATATTTTACATGTTTAGCCCGGCTAGCAGCGCAACGCGGCCAGCTAGTTACTGCTAAACACAATGAAACACCATTCAAAGTGTCCGATCACACTTGTGTGAATTTTTATTGACATTTCAAATTATGGACATTTTATATATTGTTAATGTATACACAAATATACAAATGATTGATGATGCAATTATAATCAATATCTTGTATTGACAAAAAAAATCAAAACCTTGCTGTACAATTTTAATGAATGCAAAGCAGATGCTGGAAAGAAAGCAGGCATCTACATTATCATTATCCTCCCAAATCAATCACCAACTGGGAAAATGCAGATGAGATATAGCCAACCTGCTTTCGCAATTTTAGCTGATTGATGGCAACATTGGGTTCATGTCAAGTCCAGATCCCCCAAAACTACCAGGCTCAGCATGCTTAACCCTACCGAAATAGCGAATGTGGCGCAACAGCCTGGCCAGGAAGGTGTTGTGACATATTGTTGAGCTATCACAAACAACTGCTATATGTTTGCGTGCCCTTGTTATGGCAACATTCATTCGCCTACTATCACCCAGGAATCCAACAGCTCCTAAAGTGTTCGAGCGTACCTAACAAACAGAGAAAGGTTAAATATACTTTGTTATTTGAAATGTGAAAAGAATCATAAAAAATAAAGCAAAATCCGTAAAAATGTTCTGAAGTATACCTAATTCTAATTCTAATTCTAATTTAAAAGCAGAGGGAGGAACAGTGTTATTAGTCGTTGGTGTAAAAGGTGATAAGTAAACCTTCTGAACCATGGGAACCATACCATTGATATAATTACTGCATCAGCCTCTCGGCCTTGAAAGCTATCTATAGTTGCAACCTCTACACCATCTGCCTCTGGAAGTTCATCAAGCCTCTCCCTCAAGAGTTGTACCTGAGCAACATATGGTGATTGCACTGCAATAGCTATTGGTCTAACACCTGCACAGTTGATTTAACTTAGCTAAGAAATTCACGGTCCCATAAAAGTAGGTCCTGTGGAACTAGGCATGACAACTTTGAGCCATTTCTTCCTTTAGCATATATGAGACTATAATCTATTAAACAATACAGATGTTAGAAGAGGGAGGAACAGTGGATTCACGAAGCAAACTAGTGTTTCTAAAATATTATCATGAGATGCTGAAGACTAAAAGAGTTCTAAAATACATGCAGTGTTTGGGAAATTACAAAAACAAATTTAACTTCTATCTATGAGCTTAGCTCATCATTGACCAAATTTCTGATAACAATGGGAATGCTGAAACACATTAGCAGTTAATTTATGTGTATGAGTAATGAGCATTTTACCTGAATAGATTAAAGAGAACACATGCTCCACAACAATATCTGCTTCGCCTTCATTATAAAATGAGCCTGTTCCAGCTGGGTCTAAATGCTCTTCACAGCCCACCGACAAACTTCCATATGGCCTTCTTGTATCAAGTAACAGCAATGGGCATTGTGTGATCCAAGTGGGCTGCAACAACACATACAACAATCAAGGTGATGCCCCAAATCTAAAGTACAAATATTTCAAAGACAATTGCAACTTATCAGCTCAGAGAACTTCCAAAAAACACATTGTGAGAACAAAAATGTTACTTTCCATATGGTGACATTAAGATCACTATGCCTCCGAAAAGTTGATGAACTTACCATGTTGTCCATAGAGCAGACGTTCGTTATTGTAAATGCTTCTAGAAAATAATTTGCGTGCCATATAGTGTCAAAAGTAGTGCCTTTTAACCAAGTGAAAAACAAGGGGAATCCAGAGAGGGAGAGAACGATCCTCAAATTTATTCAGCTTTAAGTATTTTAGTTATTTGCCAGTTTGACTTGTTACTATTTTCACTACAATCAATCAAGAAAGATGCCCAAGTGCCATGGAGATCTCAATTGTGTGATCAGCTACAAAAGCAACGGTAAGTTGGAGGATGGCCTAAAACCTTAAAGAACCCAAGGAAAAATGGAGAAGAAACTGTAGAAGTATAAAAAGATTTTTTACCTTAACAAATGTAGATTAGGATGGCCTAAAACCTTAAAGAACCCAAGGAGAAACGAAGAAGAAACTGTGGAAGAAGTATAAAAAGATTTTTTACCTTAACAAATGAAGAATCTGCAAGGAGATGTGAAGCAACAGTTGAAGATGACTTCAGTAGTCCACTATACATCTCCTTTGAGGCCCAACTGGAAATTGCATCGTTCATACGATATTGTGTTATTAACTTGGTTGCAAGGACCCCTTCATGCAAAGTAGCAGCTCTTTCCAAGAGGGAGATTCCAAGGCCACTCTCCAAGGCTCTCCTAGATAGGATCACTGGTGCAAGCTGGCATTGATCCCCAGCAAGAATACAACGCTTTCCCTGCAATATAGGAATCCAGCAAGATGGTTCAATTGCCTGCCCTGCTTCATCTATAACAACCAGGTCAAAAGCATCTAGCCTTCGAATCAATGGATCAGCTGCTCCGGTGTTGGTGGCAAGCACTACCTGTGCACTTGATAGCACCTCCTTCACAGTCTCCTTTTCCTTCTTCTTTAGCGTCTTTCCAAGCTGTTTCAAAAGCTGGCGTATACCAGCAGCCAAAGAATCATCCTTTAGACAATTACTCAGGTCTTTTCTTAAATCAGACTTCTTTCTTTGAAACTCTGTTTTGAAAGTTGCAAGCTTAGAATTCACTATCTCACCCAGAGACTTTGATGCAACTGCTGACGAAACACGTGCTGGATTACCAACCCTCACAATGTCTAACCCGATATTTGATAGCTTTTCAACCATATTGTCAACAGCTGCATTCGTAGGTGCTGTCACAAGCACCCTTTCACCTTGCTCCACAGCAAGTGCAATTAGTTCCTTGAGCACACCTGACTTCCCAGTACCAGGAGGCCCTTGGATTATCAACAATGACCGTTTCTTGTTCAACCCCAGGGTAACTGCTCTTCTCTGGGAATCATCAAATGGTTTCCCCAAAGGTTCATCGAAACCTGCTTCATCCCAACTTGCCAAATCATTCTCCTCCAACCAAGCAACATCTTCCTTGTCACCAAATAATGTAGCCACAGTAGCAATTGAAGGATTTTTCTTGTGCAGACCATTCTTCTGAAGCAGCATCAGGGCCTCACAATTGCGCTTCAAAATAAGAACAGAACAAACTATTAAATATGGATGAATGTGAACTGCAGACACAATTGAAAAGAGAATCTAGGAAGCACCCAACTACGTTCAAACGGTAGTCAACATGCAGAACTAAAACAAGATTTCTGTTGACAAGTATTAAAGCAGGTGGCAGATTGATGCCTGTAACAAATGGCACCGAGAAGGCACCTAATCGAACTGACAATCTACACCCAATGTACTGGGTGATTATGGTTGTGATATGAGATCTCTACATAGAAATAAATTGATGAAGAAATTCGTTGTGGAGTTTTTCCCTTGGTATATTGAAGCCCAAGGTAACATTTCTATTGCATTGATACACCATGAAGTCATTCCGTTATGATTTACAGGAAGTTTCAACACATCATAGAGTAACAGACTAACTTGAAAACGAAAGAAGATATTGAAAAAAAGGGCAAGGCAATGATAAAAAATACATGAATCTGTGAGGCCCAAAAAACTGAAAGAGATTTGTTTGCTGCACCCCATTTGCTTTAAAATGTATTTTTAAGCTGAATCTCCCATTATTTTTACTAACTTCTCCCATTTTGCTTATAAAAGTAGCAAAAGGTGAGAAGTTCTCTTCTTTTCACAAAATTCTACCTGTGGCAAACACCACACCAAGTATGAGTTGAATACCATTTAAATAATGTCATGATAGAAATCATAGTAGTCCTGTCATTGCTATCGCTCACAGCATCACGGTGACCACAGTTTGAGATGCTAAATGGATATGTTTTGTGAAGTTTCCAACAGGAAGAGCTTCTTTAAATTCTCCACTATATCAGCAAATATGGAACAATGATCTTTAAAAGAACAGCACTTTCAGCTGGTAATGTAGTTGGCAATTTGTAGAACAGTCAAAGTTACAAAAGGGATCAGAAATAAAATATCCAAGAAACCTGTTCATTTGCTGAACAAGGATCCAGCTCTTACAATCCCAAGAAGCTCAGGACCAAAGCTTCAGAACATCTATGAGTTACACATGTGAGTGAGACACAAAGTACAAAGAAAAATTGATGCCAGAAAAGAAGTTTAACCAAACTGGGAACTTCAGGAGAATCATAGTGATAAAAACTAACTTTCGCATTGTTGTTAAAACTTAAGAAAGTCAATGTAAAACTGGATAAGATTAATTTCCCTCAAAATTCATGATGTTATCAGCGCTTCCTAAGAAAGTTCTGAACAGCCTAAATTTAAAGTTGCAAAGCAGGATTGGCTCATAAACAGGAGTCAGCCCATACTCTTCAAGTTTGAAATGCATCGCAGATTGCGTTAGACTCTGAGAGTGATGTTTTGCCTCTGTAAAGCATGCATGCAAAGAACAACTATATATGATGCATGGATCGAGTACCTCATATGTGACAGCATCAGCCAATCCATGAATACGATCAATGCGCACACTCTTGCCAGAGAGCTTAGAGAAGGTGGGATCACCATGACGCGATTCTAATGCCACGCTGATGCTGCAGCCATCTTCCCCAAGGTTGTTCACAAATCCCTGCATGCAAGAAGTTGCAGCAGCACCCCTGCTATCACATATTCTCACACAAACCATATCTCCAGGTGAAAGGGTTGTAGGTGGCAATCGATGATTCCTTTCAACCCGAAACAGTACCAAGTGCATTCCTCCTAATCCTGTATAAACGTCACAACTCTGACATTAGACAACAGGCATCTACTGTTTTAATCAGCAAATATGAGTTGCAGAGATCAAAGCACAGACAGTTACTCGTGATAAAGATAATTTACGAAGTAACCTGTAGATGTGCTAACAGCATACAAATTGCAGATGGTGTCACAGAGCTCTTGCTGAGCCTGGCCATGGCTAACCAAGAATTCAATTGGTTTAGATGAATCAGAACTTTCATCAGGTGTAGGAATGGCATTCAATTCTTCTTGTGTAAACTCCAATTCAGCATCCCTCTCTATACGAAGCAATTCAGACATTCGATTTGTGAACTCATTAATTCTGCCCTGTATAGCCTTAGCCTTCTCCAAATTCATTCCTAAAACACCTTGGAGAGGCTTTGGTTGAGTTGCCTTCCGTGCAATTGCTTTATGCTGAGCTGCATATGCACTACCTCAGTCCAAACTCTCAAACTTGTTCATTAGAAAACCACAAATACAATAAGCAACTATGAACAATTTGAATTGCTTTCGGTGTGTATACAGCATTAAACAACTATTTATTCTCCAAGTTTACAATTGAAGCGGAAAGATCTTTGTAGTGCAGTAAGCAAGATTTTACCAATCCTGAAGCCAATCACTTTACTTACGGAATTTCATAGTACAAAACTACTAACTTAAAAACTCTGACCCAGATAAACAATCAATTCCTCCAAAACTTGAAGTTAAGAAATAAACAAAGATGAAGAAAGAAAACCTGAATTCGCAAGCTCTTTGAGCAACTTCCAAGACTCAGTCTCTTGCCAATGTTGAACCAACCCGTTGCGCTTCAAGTCTTGAAGAACATCCCTCAATTCTCTCTGGAAATGATCAAATAGCGTTGGATAATGAGTGCAAGCCTTCAAGCAAATAGCCTCGAGACCAAGAGGCATAGGCACAGCATTAAGATACGGCTGTGCTTGTATAACAAACGTCAAGCCAGGCCCCATTCTCTGTCTCAATTCCGAAAACTCCCCTTGCGCCTCAGCCGAAGCAAACTCACTAGCCATTGCTCTCATTGCCTGAGAAATCCATTTTACGACACTCTTTCCAAGATCTTTACGCCCCAGTGGGTCTCCATTCTCCTTAAGCGTCCCCACACTCATCTTCCTTTCTTGCTTTTCTACCACAACCTGTTTAGCAGTAGCAGAAGCAGCAAGAGCATGGATATTACTAACACCAATGCCACTAGAACCAGTTGTATATGGTTTAGAGATATCAATACTAGTGCTATTGCTGCTGCTGTTTCTATTGCGCGATCTTCTCTTTTTTGTCGAGGTTTTGGGCTTCGTAGAACCATTACAGCTGCTGTTCCAAATGGGAAGGGATTGCTGGAATGTTGAGAGAGAAAGGAAATGGGATTTATGAGATAGGAATTGTGGAGAAGGGGTGGCTACATAGCGAGGAAGCCAAGGCAGGCTCAAGCCATTCCAGCTTGGTAATTGCTTCAACAAAAAGCTGCTTGCTTCCATTTCTTCTTCGAAACACAGCCCACCTCCCCTCTCTATTCCACTTTCTAGTTTCTCAAAAATAACAACGTCGTCTGTCTAGTTTGCTACATAACACTCAACAGTCAAGATATTTCTTTCTTTCTTTATATTCTCACATATATTTCTTCGGTCAAAAACAATTGCAGGGCAAATGGGAACTTTTGGTCGTGAAATGTGGAATTTGGTGGAGGCAAGGAGAGTGGTTAGATTTTTTTTATTTTTTTTAGTTATTGATAAAAGAGAAAATGAGATTTTTGAGTGATAGAGGTTTTCTTGTGAAATTATAAATTATTTCTTTAATTTTGCCATATAAATTAAATATTTTTTTAGTTTTAAAAAATAATTAACTAATCAATTGATTATCATGGATTATGTTTAATTTAATAATTTTTTCCATCAAGAGGTTTATAGATCTTGAGTTTAATAATAAAAATAGTTTTCTTTCATTATATAATTCTCAAATAAACTAGAATATTAGAACTCGAGTTTGTTTCATTTAAAGAAGTTACCTCGATTAACAACTACTAATTTATACATGTCTTCTTTAAAAAAATATATATTTCTTATAACAAGAAATGAAGTAAAATATATTTTAAAAATATATCTTTTCATATTGTCGTCATCAGGGAAGTTGTAGGGAAGAGGAGATCTAAGAAGTAGTTCTGTGATTGGCTGACCTTTCGATTCTCTGCTTAGCTCAGCTCTGGAGAGCGGGGGCTGTGGGGTGCGTTTGAGGTTAACGTGTCCTCTCGCTGTTCTTTCTTTTTGCTTTTTCTCTTATTTATTTATTTATTATGTGGTGGGTCATTAATGTATTTTTGTGGCATTAAAAGGAATTTGGAGATGACACTTCCCACTTTTAGTCCAAAAATTAGGGCCATAACACACTTGCCCTATTCTCCACCAGGAACCCGTTGAGGTGGCGGAGACGAACACCTTCTTTTCTTTCTTTCTTTCTTTTTTTATGAATTTCCAACTTCATGTGATGGAGATTTTAGACACCAAGTTTTGTACAATTTGTCTTCTTACTTTTCTAACGTCAATTTTATAGGACATATGTATACATTGAGTGTAGGGTATGCTAGGCTTTTGTAAACAATGACTAAATCCCTTCTTAATCAATTTTTAAACAAATTATTCACGTTCTAAATTTAAACTTATGCATTATTTATTTATTTATTTTTTTTGATAAATAGAGGGTACTTTCTTAAAAGGAGAGAGAGAGAGATCTTTACAGGGTAAATTATAAATTAATCCCTTTAGTTCCGATGAAAAAATTAATTAATATATTTTGTTTTAAAAACTGATAATTTAGTTTCTTATGTTTTAATTTTATCAATAATTTAATTTTTTGTTATAACAGTGATTAGCTGTTCTACTATATTATTTTTTTGTTTTTAAATCCTATAAAACTATTATATATTATTATTACTACTACTACTAATATTCATGTTTTTCAAGGATGTTGGATTATTTATCTCCGTAAACAAACTTACTTGCAATAATTTTTTTGCTATGGGAGACATCATATTCAAACTACCAAAGGGCAGGTAAATCTGTAATTGGTCGGGCTGTTTCTTAAGCCGAAGCTTTCTGCATCATCTTATGTACATTATTATTGCCTGAAATTTGGGTGTTATATTAAAAAAAAAATTATTAAGTTTGTGTATGTTTATATATGAAACGTAACTATAGTTGTCAATCGGCCATTTATTTGCTTTCAAATCAGACAAGTTGTGGGGCTTATGCCAATCAATGATGTATTTCATTTGATTTGATTTTTTTCTGTCGTAGATTGAATCATACAGTGTGAAGATATAAAAATTAGTAGTTTATAGTAAACAAAAAAAAAAAGACAAATCGTGTTATGATAACGAACTGAGTTGGTGGTTGTTGTAAAAATGAGTAGTTATTTTATCTCTTTTTATAATAAAGTTTTTCCAATATTAAATACTTTATAATTTGAATTCAAACCCAAAACTTAAATGGAAAGAGTTATATATATATATATAACAATAGTAGAATTAAAGAGAAAAATAATATAAATGATAACAAATCCAAATTGTTGTTCCTAGCACACAAAAAGAACATAATTAAATAATAAATATTGATAAAATAAATAAATTTATTATAAATTAAAATAAATAAAGAATTGAAACTTTTTACCTTGATCATTAGAAAAATTAATTATTAAATAACATTATCATATTTCACGGTATAAAGATAGATCATTGAATCATTAATATATATATATATATATATATATATGTGTGTGTGTGTGTGTGTGTGTGTGTTGTATAAAAGAAATAATAACAATAATAGAATTGAAGAGAAAGATAATAGGAAAATGAATTCAATATAAGATAAAATGCATATAAAAGATAACGGATCCAAATTATTGTTCTTAGCACACAAAAAGAACATAATTAAATAATAAATTTGATAAAATAAATAAATAAATTTATTGTAAATTAACATAAATAAAGAATTAAAACTTTTTATCTTGATCATTAAAAAAATTAATGATTAAAATTACATTACCATATTTCACGGTATAAAGATAACCGAACCATCAAAATAGTTTTACCATAATTTTTAAGTGACTCGCTCGAGGCACAACCGAGTTGCTTTTTTGAGACGATACACGTCATCCGTAGAATTTATCTAATGTAACCGATAAAAAATATATTGCACGTAATCTCGGGGATACAATAAGCTCAACCACTTTGTCGTGTCTTAACAAGTTTGTACTATTTGTAAGACTCAAAACTCTAAATAAATTTTAGTACCTCTTTTACCCAAAAAATAAAATAAATAACATTATATGGCTTTATAGTGGGAGATTAACAAACAAGAAAATTGAAAGAAATATTTTTCTTTCTAAAAGAATGCTACTCTTTTCTCTAAACAAGAGAATAAAAATGTAGCTATATATTTTTTTCTTTTTTTTGTTAACATAAGGGAAAGGTCCTATATATAGGCCATAGGAATAAAACCATTTGGGAAGAAATAATTGCAATCATTAAGTGCAATTATTGTAAAAATGGTAAAAAACTTCTTTCATAACTCATGCAACCGTTTGTTAATTTATTAAAATAAATATAGCTATTATAACCATAACATTTTAATGTACCTCATTAACCATGCATTGAATACTTTATTATTTTTTTATTTAATAATAATAAGTATAGTATTTTATTAAAAAAAAATCCAAGAATCCCCCGCTTATTTTTTAATAAAATATTAACCATATTTAAAAAGAAAAAACAAATAATACAATAAATGTAGTTTTTATATTTTACTAAAACATATTCCAATAATCCCCCACTTATTTTTTAATAAAATATAAGCCATGATTTTTGGTAAGTAAACGAACATAATATATAATAAGGGTGTCAATGGCATGAACCTTTACTTAGCGTTTCAACAACATTTCTCTCAAGTTAATAGTGAACATTGTCTTGAACTATGGCTTTTTAAGTAAAACAAATATATTATCATACATATTATATTCGGATACTCTATGACGAGTTTCGAGCCAACGACCAGCACATTAACGGCCTTGTGCTTGATCCCGACTTCTATAAGTGTTCTAGAGAATTAACCTAATTCTCATAGGAAGCGGCCTCACTACCTCACTCATATAGGTGTGTCTATCAAGGATGCTCTCATAACTCTAACATCTCATTCAAAAAGAACTATAAACCACATTAAAAGTTTCATGTAAAGAAACTTAACATCTCTTTCATTATAGGATTCATGCACTACACCATAGGGATAAACATATGATTATTGTAAACTCAAATAAATTATACATGTAATCAAACCACTTTATGCTCGTTCTTCTCTTTGAACCTAGTTCTTGGGATCTCCGGTCGTTAGATAGAGTATCCACATAGGTGATTTTATTCATTTATGAGCTTAGTCTCATCTCCTTTGATGCATCATCTAATCCTTTGACTTTAGCTAAAGATTTACTCTCACAATAGTCAATATACACCCAAAGGATTAGGTAACTAGCACTTAATCAATTTATTAGTACTAAGACAAGTAGTAGGAATTTTTCATCCTTACTATTTGAGACAAAGCAAAACATCCACTTGTCTTTTTCTTTTTTTTTCATTAGAATCCACTTGCTTTTCCATTGGCTTTGACTTTTAGCCAATTTAAGTTTCACCACATACACACCGACCAATCATAATTATATTTATTTTTCACATCTCCATCATTGTGCTAAAATATGATGGCATCATTGTATTTTCTAATACAATGAAAAATATTTAATATAATCACATTGAAGTGAATAGGGACATTTTTCAATCTCTAGTTTCTCATACAAATTTGACATCATTGTATCTCATTTATACGATAGGAATGTCAATATTTAGCTAGAGATTTAAATTTCTCAAAATATCACCAATTGTCTTATTAGACAATATCATTACAACACCATTGTATCTTAATTATACAATAGGAGTGTCTCTAATTTTACTTATCGAATAATATTATCAAAACACCATTGCACCTTAATTGTACAATAGGAGTGTCACTAATTCCATCAATTCTCTCAATATTTTTGCCAAATATTCCATAAGCATCATTATACCTTCTATATAATAGGAATGCTTTAACCGGATATTTTACAAGCATCATTATACCTTTTGGATAATAGAAATGCTTTTATAAATATTTTCATTAGCATCACATTAAAAATTTACATGTGGCAAAAAATTCAAACATCATAAGAAAAATTATGATCGATAATTTATCATCATGAGAGAATTATGATAATTTATCTTGAATTACATAATAATTTTCTCAAACAAATTTTTAATGCAATAGCATTTTTTTTATGCCCCCATTATTCACATAATGAATAATTTTCTTGCTACCACTATAGACAAAGTGATGATATGAATTATTTTATTATTTTGTCATCAACATTCATAATTTCTTGTGACCTACCAATCAATAAGATATAC